ACACACAATATAGCTCTAAGGCCTTTGATATACAGAGGATTTTTAAAAAACATTGGGGGTTATTAATAGAGGATGAATATCTCAATCAGCAGATTCCTCTTTTACCCAAAGTTATTTTTAAGAGAGGAGTCAATTTAAAGCAAATTCTAGCACCAAGTACTTTTAGATCTAGAAAGAGTAAAACAAAACGTAAAGAAGGTTACTACACATGTGGAAGTTGTGTTAGTTTTAACTATAAATACAATAGTATCACGAGCTTTGTGAGTACGGTTAATGGAAGGAGATTTAAAATCAAGAACACTTTATCCTGTTCTTCAACACATGTTGTATACCTACTCACATGCGGATGTGGGTTGCAATATGTGGGAAGAACGGGAAGAAAGGCAAAAATTAGGTTCCAGGAGCATAGAAATAATATCAAAAATCATATGTTGACACATTCAGTGCCAGTACACTGCAATAAATGTCCAGCTTTTAATTTCAATACCCTCCAATGTACCATCATTGAACAAGTGGCCTTGGATGAAAGAGGAGGTGATCTAATGTTACTATTGAGAAAAAGAGAGGGATATTGGATACATACTCTACAAACAATGCAACCTAGAGGACTTAATGTCGACTTTGATTTGGTTTGCTTTCTCTAAATTGACAATTTTGCACTTTTACATTGTTCTTGTATATAGCTTTAATATTGATAAATGTATGTTTTTAGCAATGTTGCTTAATTAATTTTATGTATCTTCTGTGTATTTTTTGGGAATATAATAATAATCTGTTATGCCATATTCTTTACTTTGTATTAAAAGAAGAATATTGGCAAGGTTTTACAGTATCTGGATAATATTGTTATGTTCTGAGATTATCATTATGAATATAATTAATATCACATATATATATACATGTTCTTAATTTTTTTCTTATTAATTGTGGTTGTTCTCCGCTCTTCGAGCGGTGGAACGCATATCAGGTGGAACGCATATCAGGTGGAACGCATAGATAGAGATCCGGAAGAGAGACGTGAGCCGCATTTCCGGTTGCGTCAACAGGTCGCACCCGGAAGCATTACAGATAGACGAACCCGGAAGGAAGTGAACAATTGGAGGATTTTTTCGGCGCGCCAAACCGGACGGATTTAAAAGCCAGGTACATTATGTGGACAACTATGCCTGCATACAGAAGGACTTTTTTGCCCCTGAGGAAGTTCAAGGACGTTTGAACGAAACGCGTAGGGCTTTGTTATAGCATTTATAGTGTTTAGAGTTTTTTATTATCTTATCAGGTTGTTTTATTTTATTTTATTTGGACCTGCTGGTTATATTTGATCCTGTGGATCCTGTGATTCATCCTATGATCCCAAGACCGGTGGTTTCATATATGCCTGTTTGCCACTACAATATTGTAAGTGTGCCTTATTATTAAAGTGTATTTTCTTATCAAGATACTCTGCACTATTATGCTGTTTTATTTCCTTCTATGTACATCCTGACGTTCCACTTATCCTAAGATATTCATCGTTCTATAAGATATGCCTACTATCAATTTTGGTTTGTGAGTGTGAATTATCATCTATATTTCCACTCTTTCTTTTTCCATCAACAGTATTATGCTATGTCTTTTTCTGTTATTATTGTATTGTAGATTTATCCCTATTTTTGTTCATATTTGTTGAGGACCTGGAGGAGTCCTAATCTGCAATACATTTAGTTCAAGGGTAATTATTTAGTTTTCTAATTATTACCCACTATAAGTGTGTTCTATCCACAAGTGGGTGAATCTGTACTTTTTCTATTTGGTTATTAATACATTTATACTGACCAGATGTGACAATTCATTATGCTAAGGACCATTGGGCTTGTTCTTTATTTATTTGACACATTTTAAAACACAGGAACATGTGAAGCATTGCTCCAATGTATTGGTTATTACCTGGGCTTCAGAAGATTCGCCCGACTGATCTTTACCATTACTTCATCTCTCTTTTGCTATGGTAAGAACTACTGGGAGATAAGATCTTGAAGATCTACAGTCACATTTGCACAACACTCTGATCCATGTCTACTAACCTTGATAGCAACTCCAGAAATCATCTTACAAGGGGATACACTTTGGTAAATGTCATTATCTGCATGTTACAATAAGTGAATGCTAAATTGCTTTCCATGTGAAGTTGTTAGATGAGAATTACATTGTTACGTTGTACAATAAAACAAAAAAGAATTTACATTGACCCCAAATTCCCCAACACGTGCAAGATAAAATTCCAACTGTGACTTGCAATGGTTATATCGATATAATTATTCAGGTTAGATTTTACGACTTTCAAAAATTTTGATTTTAAAGGTTTGGATAGCTTTTAACGAGAAAATTTTTCATATCGCCACACTAAATGTGCGCACAGTTTAATAAAATTCTTATATCAGAATGTAACTAAAATCATCTAATTTTTATGTCTTTTTATCTAAGATAATTTGAATCTTATTTCTGTGTCTGTAGTTACTGAGAGTAATAGAGCTAATTTTCTCAGGGCAGTAGGTTCGTGAAGAAATAGTCAGTGAATGGAGGAACTGTTTGTTGAAGAATAATTGAAAGATGTCCCCAGTCCCCCAGGCAAGGTGCAGACTCCGACTCCTGCGAGCAGCCGCATATTGGAAGAGTCGATAACCCTGATTCAAGGTAGATGGAACTGTATAAATAAGTCCTTTGAAATGTATATATTTTGTAGTTGAAATAAATGATGGATTATTACACTATTTATATCATAGATTTATGTAACACACATCAAAGATATAATCTATTTTTTATATATATATATTTCTGGTACTTTGCATTTTATTTAATATACATTTTCTCTTTTGTCACAGGTTTTGCTAGTTTGGATTTGCGTTAAAATGTCTTCATCATATTATGTAAGGAATCCTGAATATTCCCTGCTTTAAAAGTGCACTATGTTTCATGCTCATATTTTATAAAATATTAACTCATTAACATGGCTCATACTCATAATTACCCATTCGTGGAGCCTGTAATTATTTATATAGATATCATCATGGCTATTGTGACGACGGGATATAACTTCAAAAATAGGTGAAATGATATGAAGAGGTGCATACACAGTCCAAAGTGATGCAGCGCAATAGGTGGCCATCTTTTGTACATCACCTGCATATATCAAATTGGACTTTTAGAAGTCCCCTTGAGCACAGAAAATACAAAATAAATCATGTTTCCACAACTATCCCAGAGTTCCCTGCTTGACATGCAAATGAGCACAGCCAGGCTTCATGTTTCAGACCTCACCCTGCATTTCTGCAGATACCCTTAGCAATGGATAGCACTGTATATTCCAGCAGGTGGCAGCACTGCATACTGTCCTTTTAGCATGCTTTTTAAAGAGAAAAGACACAGCATGTATATTATATTCACACTGTTCCAGGCAGGTCAATTACCTCAGTGTGAAATAAATATTTTAATGATGTAGTGAGGCATACCATGTCATTGCTCTCTATACTTATTATTTAAAGGGACACTATTGTCACCAAAACAACTTTAGCTTAATGAAGCAGTTTTTGTGTATAGATCATGCCCCTTCAGGCTCACTGCTCAATTCTCTGCCATTTAGGAGTTAAATCACTTTTGTTTCTATTTATGCAGCCCTAACCACACCTATCCTGGCTGTGGCTGACACAGCCTGCATGAAAACAAGATGGTTTAATTTTCAATCACATGTTAACACAATTTAAAAGTTTATATCTACTGCTCTGTAAATTAAACTTTAATCACATACAGGAGGATCCTACAGACTCTGCTATTAACAGAGCAAGAGATAAGAAATTTTAAATTAAACATAATTTGCAATAAAGGAAGTGTAAGGATTAGATGTCTCTTTACAGAAAGTATTTAGGAAGACTGTGTAAGTCACATGCAGGGAGGTGTCCCTAAGGCTGTGTAAACAAAGTGATTTAACTACTAAATGGCAGAGAATTGAGCAGTGAGATTGCAGATGCATGATCTATACACCGAAACTGCTTCATTAAGCTAAAAGTTGTTTTGTTGACCATAGTGTCCCTTTAACTATAAAAAAATGCCACTTATTTGGGAGGTATATGTGTGTGTGTACAGTGCATCTGAGGGAGTAAGAATGTCTTCAAACACACACATGTTTCAAGCCATATTTCATGTACATTTAAAATCACATTGCTAAAAATGGAACATTTAAATGTTGCTACATTCACACTGTAATGTTGCTTGGTTTGTAAGAACGCAGTGGCTTTTTAAAATGTATTAACATTTCTTAAATAGCGCTCTTATCCAGAGTGCTATACAACATTGTAATTGCTAGTATCTAGCAATCTGTGGTGTAGAACAACTGGGGAGATATAGATATACAATACACATATATTGATTTTAAAAAAAAGACAGAAAATTAAACCTATGAAATTAAAACCTACATTTGCAGCCTTTTTATGAAACTTTTTTGCACTGTTAACATCATAACAGGGAGTGGAGAAGGTCGAAGGTGATGACCAGAAGTTAGATAATCCACAAATATTTCTAGGTTGTGAGTTATGTAAAGGGTGTTTGACAAAAAGATCAGAAATCTCTGTAGAGGTTTGGAGAGGAACAATGGGTGAAGAGAGGGGACTAGGGGACTGTATGACATTTAGAATAAAACTGAAACATTATGGAAAATAAAAACAAAACACAAAATAATACATAGAAAGGGAAATAAAATGTAAATATGAAAGCACACAATTAAAACCTAATAAAATTAATTACAATGATAATACATTATAACGTTTTGACTTATTGTAGCAACAGACCTTGTTGTAGAAGCAGTTTAAAAAAACTGTTGCTGGGAGACCATGCAAAGTGTGATGAATAATTACGTTTAGAACAGTATTCCTAATTTTAATAAAGTGAGATGTTAGGTTAGGGGGTAGCCTGGTTGGGATTGATAGGATCTACGTCCCACAACATCTTGAAGGCAAGCACCTCTGAATCTTGAGCCTAAAAGCCCTCCTAACCCTTAACACCCTCACCCCTAATCACCAATAAACTTATTACATGATACTGCTATTCTCAGAGCAAATACAGCACTCGTTACAAGCAGAACACATATACAGGGCTTTAAATTTCCACACACACACTAGGCAAATGGTAATCTCAAACAAGAAGCTTTTGCTAGTTATTTGCTATTTTGCGGCCACTTTCTGTGATTGGCTATTGGTGAGAAAGGATCACTTTCCAAGGTTGCCTGGACACCTGTTTCTTAGGCAAATGGTTTGAAAATCTAAAAAGAATGTATCATACAAAACGAAAGGCCTGAATATGAATAAGAAAAAAGTCTTTTGCGTAGGCAAATTGTGGTTTAAGGGTCAAATTACTATACATACACGCACATATTACAATGCATATTGTTAAATGTGGCAACATTGCAATATTGCAGTGTGTGACGGAGCTCCTGGTACTCAGACCAAGTGCCTTTAGCAAGTCTGCCTCCTTGCCGCTATCACGGATCCTGGAACGCTTCAGACGCAGTCGCCTATGCTTGACTGGGATTGCTGAGAGCCTTTTCCAGCCTACTGTGATTATGGCTCTGGAAACCCTTTCTCCAGCAGGGCAGTGATCAGAGCCATTTCTTCAAACACCAGACGAGACTTGGTGAATGTTAAAAACAACAACTATCTTTATTGAAAACAGCAAATCTATTAATACCCCCACAGCCTTATTTAAATAGGGTTGTGGTACCCAATAGCAGTATGGACTTGGAATAGCAATCATATTACAAAGCTTAAAGCCATTGTGATTACCAGGAAGGGAGGGGACAGACCATAGCATGGGTTAAGAATCACATGGGGGATTTAAAGAAGTGTCAAGGCAGTCACTTGAAACTGGTCTGGAAGTGACCTTGGAACAATGGGACAACGCCTTACTGGAAGAACAGTAAGACAGGGCAAAGGGATCCTGGTGTAATACAACAAGCGTCCAGGACCCCTCACCCACAGGGACATCAGCCCCTTCTACGTGGAAATGTTCATAGTATGGGGTCAGTGATTTCCCGTACATAGAAAAGTATAAGATATAAATTTAAGCCCATTAATTCTTTTCAATCAGCAATCCGATTTAAGTATAACCCTCCCTGCGTTATTTTTACTGTTTAATCTTATATCACAAACTGACTATATAGCGCTGCATATTAATTTGAAGCCTTGTAAAAACATTTCTAAGAACACATACTATTAATTATTTCAGTTAATGTGTTATTTTTATATATTATGGCGTCGACACTTAAAGTTATGAGTTATGTTCTTTGGTTGATATACAGTGTTTTGGCCAGGTCTGCCAAGATTTACAGTAGTCTGTAATAGAAGTCATTTCGTAAGAATATAAATGTTGGTAAATGTGCTTATCTTAATTTTACAAGCACAGGGATGTTAAATTCTTTTCCAAGCATAGCAGCGAACCAAGGCATGTTTGCAGTATCCAAAGATATACTGCCAAGTAGAAAATACTATTATTATGTAACTGGACATTTCATATTAATCAGGTATTTTTGAGAGAGAAAAAAACAACACAGCTTTAAGACAGGTGACTGATCAGAGCTGTTACTAAAATTCCATAAAATTTGGACCCAGGAAATATGATGGGGCAGTTTTAATGCTTACCCTGTCCATTCTCAAATAGAAATGAAGACAAAAACAGAGTAAAAAAAGGGGTGATGAGTAATGAAAAATACATTTATTGTAGGGCAGTATTGGGGATAGACAGTATTGGACAGGATTTGTGTCCAAAATAGGGACTGTCCCTCCTACATAGAGACACTTGGGTAGTATGTGGATAAAATTGACACACTAATAGGGAGTTTAAGAATGAATACAATGCAAATCCATTCATATAAGCAAAACCACTAACACGGCAAGATATGTTGATAGGAGAGTACACCGCCGTCTACAAAAACCTGTTTCTAAGTGTGCCTTCGCTTAGTACAAGTGTGCATTTTGTTTCATTTTTACATTTTTTAGATTTCATTTTGATATGTGGTTATTTATTTTCTTTATTATTATTTGTGTAAGAATAGAGTGTGAGATTGATTTTCTCGTGTGTCTTCAAGATCATGGATCAAGTAAAAGAGATCTGGAATGTTTGGTGAAGAAGGAACGCCTGAGAATTCTGTGCCTACAGGCACCTAAGATATAGATCTAGCAATGACAAAAAGCTGAGCATACCTTGAATGATAATCCATAGCTTATGAATTGGACCAGGAGGACCTCAAAACTGTTATTACAAAACTGGCAACGTGATGACTGTAGTGCAATATCGTAAATTAAGCTGCCAGTTAAATATTAATAAAAGTCAAAATAAGCTAAAAGAGAACATTGCAATAGGAAATAAAGAAATTAGCTGTCCTAACTCTAACACCATCAATCAGTTATATCCTGCCTCGTAACACACTACAGAGGAACTCAGCAAAACCCAGAGAAAATAACTATGGAAAACAACAGTGCATTTACCATTAGCAATAATGTAGATTTTAGTGGTTTTAACAATACATTGTATTTCTGTGTGTATCAGATCGCTCCCACCTGCTATTTTCTCGATCGACATGGAACCTCAAGGCAGCTAATTGTACATTCTAATTCCTTGTATAGTCATTAGTGGGGATTATACCGCTGAAGCTATCTATATTATTAGTATTATTTATAAAGCGCCCTAAAAAATTCCACAGCACTGTACAATGGGTGGATTAACAAACAATTATTTGTAAGCAGACAAGTTGGACACACAAGAACAGAGGGCTTGAGGGCCCTGCTCAATGAACTTACATGCTAGAGGGAGTGGAGTCTAGTGACACAAAAGGTAAGGTAGGGTAGAAAAGTAGGTTCATTGAGGGCTTAGTGTTTTGTTTGATGACAGTTGCAGGAGAGGAATCAGGATCCAGTTTAATTGAAATGCTTTCCTGAAGTAATACGTTTTCAAAGATTTTTTGAAGGAGTGGAGACTGGGTAAAAGTCTAACAGAGAGGGGAAGGGCATTCCATAGGAATGGTGCAACATATTTAAGGCAAGCATCAGAGGTGGAAGTACAACAGAGGTTAGATGTAGGTCTTTGGCAGAGTTTAGGGGCCTAGACGGGACATATTTGTGTATTAGTAAGGATAGGTAGGTTGGAGCCGGATTGTGTAGAGATTTGTAAGCAAGTACCAGGATCCTAAATTGAGCCCTATATCTTATGGAAGGCCAATGTAGGGACTGACTTAGGGTAGAGGTGGGTAAGGTGCCGGCGGACAGGAAGATTAGTCAGGGCAAAAGAGGATAGCGGTATGGACAATAACCTATGCCATACCAGGCGTTAAAAAGGGTCAGATGCATGGCAGGATTTGGCAATTGATTGGACATGAGGGGTGAAGGAGAGGTCAGAGTCAAAGAGAACACCTAGGTAGCGAGTCTACGATGTAGAGCTGATGGTAGCGCCATTGATTTGGAGGGAAACAGACAAGTGAGAAGCAACACTTGAGGGATGGAAGACCAGAAGTTATGTTTTGGACAGGTTAAGTTTAAGGAAATGAGCAGCCATCCAGTTGGAAATAGCAGAGAGGCAGTCAGAGACATGAGTCAAGAGGGGTGGTGAGGAATCAGGGGAGGACAGGTAAATTTGCATATCATCTGCAAATATATGATACTGGAAGGTAAAGGAGCTGATGAGTTTACCAAGGTAAGCAGTATAGATTGAGAACAATAGGGGACCAAGGACATACCCTTGGAGAACACCAACAGAGAGGGATTGGGGAGAAGAGGCAAAGCCAGAAAAAGAAACACTAAAAGAGGGCTGGGAGAGGTAGAAGGAGTACCAGGAGAGAGCGATATATCGTAGATCGAGATTACGGAGAATGAGAAGAAGCTGTTGATGATCAACAGTGTCAAATACAGCAGAAAGGGCAAGGAGAATTAGGATAGAGTAGTAACCATGGGATTTTGCAGTGATAAGATCATTAGATACCTTGGTTACAGCTGTTTCAACAGAGTGATGGGCACGGAATTCAGATTGAAGTGGGAGAGTTGGATTCGAGGAAGTCTGTCAATCTCGTATACACAACTCTCTCAAGGATCTTGGAGGCAAACGGCAGTAGCGAGACAGGGTGGTAATTGGACGGGGAATTATGGTCAACGTTGAGCTTCTTCAGAATAGGGGTTACGGTTGCATGTTTGAAGGATAGAGGAAATATCCCAGAGGAGAGGGAGAGATTGAAAATTTTAGTGAAAGGCTGAGCAAGAAAAGGAGACAAAGTGCGGATGAGATGCGAGGGAGTAGGATTGAGAGAACAGGTGGTGGGGCGCGAGGACCAGAGTCAATATTTTGTTGCTGCAATTATTCACTGACTGCTGGTAATAACTGTGTATTTCTGATATTTACTAACAACATTGAAAGTAAGCAGCTATACTGGAAAATGTTCTCAAAGCTGCTAATTTTGCCTAAATTGTACCTTACATTTTTTTAAAATTAATCTCATTACTGTACTAAAAATTTGGGGGACTAGATCTCCTAGTGTCAAAACTTAAATTGCAAAAATTTAATTACAGCCCTAGGCAAATAATATGTGCCAATATTCCACTTCCTCAGGATGTAAGCAATGATTTTAAACACTCTGAATGTCGCAGGTCAGCTTTATGTTAAAAAAAAATCTGTTTACCAAAATAAATCAATATTTGCTTTAATAGTTTAAACAAAATGTGTTTACATTAAGGGTGAGAAAAGAGTTTTCAATGTATTTTTAAACAAGTCATTGGATTTATGTATGGTTTTGAATGTGTGAACAACACTTAAAGGCAAAATATATCTTAAAGTTTGTGGTTAAGTTTCTATTTGCAAAGGACATTGCAAACAAATTCTACCTGATTATCAAGGTTATATTTATTCTAATTCAAACAGTATGTTTTGCATTTGTTATTTCTTTTATAAGATGTCCATTTGCTTTTTTTGTGTTGTACATAAAGTATGCTTATGAACAGTTTGCAATGCAATTGACTTATACTCATGTATTGTTCACATCTACTATTTTTTATATTTTATATAAACACCAGATAGTAGTGAACTAAAGTCTATCTTGAACATTTCAAACTAAAATAGACAGGCTGTGACTATAGCTAAGCTGAAATAGGCCAAATAGGCTTTTGTTTCCTAAATTTTCCAACTGGTAGTATATGCTTTGCTTAGCTAGTTCAATATTTGGCCCTTGTTTTTCAGCAGAATGGGAGGAAGTGACTAC